AGGCGAATCCATCGACCGCATTCGTCGCAAGCAGCCTCCGCGTCCACGTAGTAGGTGGTGCCTGAATACGGATACGCGAGCGTCGGTAGCTGATTTCGGCGAAGCTGAACGACGCCGAAGCAGCCGCCAGAGTTGTTATAGTCGTCGGCATGGGGTATCTGCGGCGGCGCACTTACGCTGGCCTCGAGCAGCTTGGCCTCGTCGAGAACGAACTTGTCGACGCCATGTGTGCTCAGAATCGCCGCACGGATTGTCGCACTGCCCTCGATCTCCCTCTTGATGTCCGCCCATGCGTCGAGGTGCTTGCAGTCCAGCTCCACAGCGTTGGATATCTCATGCGCTTTGCTGCCCTTTTTGATCTCCATGCTCGTCTCGGCGAGCCGCTCACATACCTTTGCAGGCAAGAGCTGCTTGATCTCGACAAAGCCGTGCTCCATCACGCGGGTCGGGTCGCGGTTGTTCATGGCAGCGCTGCGGCGGTGGCAGCGCTGGCGGCAGGAAAAAAGCCCGCCCAGGTATTTTTGATTGCGGCTGACTCTTACCTCTCTCTTGGCACCTTGGAGTGCTGGGGGGGGCGACAGGAAGGATGTGGCCCTGAGTTATGTGTACGCCAACCCAGGGTGTGTGGCAGCCAGCTGGCTGTGTGTCTTGTGAGCTTGTTTGTGTCTGTGTGTCGTTCGTGCGTGTCGTCATCATCTGTCCTGCGTCCACCCATACCGCGTTGGTGTCCAGTCCGAGCCTGGCTGTTCTTCACCTTTCTACCTACCTACCTCTTACCTGCAAATTTATGCGATGCTCCCCACATGTACCTCGCCCGGCGCGTTCGGTCTGGGTACTGTAAGCCTCCTTTGTGGCACGCGAGGCCCGGTCGATAGCCAATCGAGGCGCAAGAGGGGCTCGCTGGATCTCCGGCCGGCGGGGCAGTAGAAGACAGCTGATTCAGCCGATCCGGCCGCTCGTGCCCCGGGGGAGATCCATCGCGGCTCTCTCCGTCTCTCGCACGGGGGCCCCTCGCGAAGCTTGCCTTGTGCCCAGGTTTTGATTGATGGGAAGGCGAAACACAGTCCGACCATTGCGCCGACTAGAATGGCCAGTCGAAATGGCCAGTACCACCTGCGGCGGAAGGAGTCCACGAAGGCGGCGAGCTCCGTGTCAGTGCCACACGCACGCGAGAGGTCCTTGGCGTGTGCACGCAGGAACGACGAGACGTCCGCCCGCTCCTGTGCGTAGGTAAGTAAGATGGCTGTAGGAGACAGCACACTATGGCTCCGAGGTTACAACTAGGGACCCTACGATCGAGGGGTCCCGTACCATGCGGAATCGACCCTATCAAGTGCTCAAGTGCTCAAGGTTACAACTGTAGCCAAGCTCCATCACCCTGCCATCGAGGCTGCCCGCATCCTTGACGTACCCGGCTTCGTCGCTACATTCCGCCGGGTGACGGGTAGCTCTACTTGCGACTCGTTCAGGTTCAAGCAGGCTCTCCAGACGTTGCTCGGGAACGCTCCTATGCTGGCTCGAAAGGATAGTCCGCCGTACGTCATGTGCACAACCTTCGACATGTCGAAAGAAGCGACGGTGGTATTTGGTAGCTACCCGCCGAGATATTCGATAGTGCATACCGACTTCATGTGTGGACCTGCCTGGCTCGCAGCCCGTGCCACCTCGGCCGCGCCGACGTATTTCGACCCGATGATAGTCACGACTGCCAACGGGACGCCCAATCGAACCTTTGTCGACGGCGGCATCCAAGCCAACTGCCCCGCCAAGCTGGCCGTCAAGTTTGCGACCGAGTTCCAGCTACACAGCCGCGCTGACAACTTTGTTGAGATGATCGCCTCGCTTGGCACCGGGCTCGAGAGTCCCTCTCTCTCGGTGCCACGCGACAACGGACTCTCCTGGGCTGCTCGGCTGATCTCCTTTGCTCTCGAGTCGGAAAAGCTGTGGAAAGATGGCATCCTCGAGAATGCCGCCTTGCGAGATGTGCCAAAGGTGCGAGTCAATCCGCCGGGTCTCGGCTCTTTGGATCCCTTTGTCAGCTCATCGATCCCCGAGCTTCGCGAGGGGACGACAGAGTACTTGAAAAGCCACGCCGGGAAGCTGACGATTGGTCGACTCATCCACCTGGTTCACGCAAAGCTATGGCGCATCAAGCAGCTGACGAACCTCGTGGCAGGCACCGCAAGTCCCATGCAAATCGAGATGCGGGAGCACCGACTCGATTTCTCCACCATGTCCGAGCCAGTCTTGCGCAAAATTATCGAGGACCGTCGCGATTGCGTGTCTTCCGTCGAGCTGAAGGAGTTGCGTGACGAGGCTGAGGCGGCCTTTAGCGAGCAGCCATTTGTCCCTTCACTAGAGGGGCGCTTTGTGGTCAAGTTCAACGGCACGGAGCAGGAGCTAACTGGGCGAGAGTTCAACATCTCATCGGCCGAGCAGGGGACGCCGCAGCTGCAGGTGTGGTGGCGTTCTGACTTTGGCGACTTCCCTATCAGCGGCTTCCCTCGCAGCATCCGGGTCGTTGGCGAGCAATAGGGACCATACGGTGGATTCGCACCCGTTACCTTCATTTCTCGGGAGAGACTCGAGAGAGAGAGCGCAAGTCTTGTCTTGGCGTCGGCTCTTCGCTCCGGCGCGCTATGGCCCGTGGCGCCGGCGCGCGCGCGGCGCGGCCGCGCGCCCCGGCCCGTATCTGCATGTTTAGGCAGCTAGTCGATACCCTACCCAACACGCGAAAAGAAGTTTCCAAAGTCACTTACCACAATAAGACGCGCACCGTGCGGCACGGGGTCTGCACCCTTGGGGAGTTGCGCAAGCGGAGCGGTAGCGCCTGAGCTCCCGGGCGGCTGCGCCGGCCGCGCGGGCCGTGGGCGCAGCGTGGGGCCGGGAGCGGCCTTGCGCCTACCCCACTACGGGTAGCCCATTCACGCGCTCCGTTGGATGCTAATAATAACCGCCGATTAGTTTCGTATATCAATTAGTCCGTGCGTCCCTTCGTATTGTTCGAATCCTATGGAGCAAGACGACCTCGGAGACTGGCTTTCACCGCTCTCGCGCAACAACGAAGCACCGCCCTCTCCATCTCCGCTCGCCGCCCCGCCTGGCACTCCCCACGCCGGAGTGGGAGCGGGTGCGGGTCTTGTGCATGGTAGCTCAGCTACAAACGATCCAGCGCAGCCGCACGCTCAACAGCATACACCCACCGTCGACCAACATGGTCAGTGGGCGGTGCCTGAGCGAGCAGCACACTCCATCTCCGCTCGCCGCCCCGCCTGGCACTCCCCACGCCGGAGTGGGAGCGGGTGCGGGTCTTGTGCAGGCCTGCTCCGTGCTCATGTATCCAGCGTCTCTAGACGATTACAAAGGATCGGACGTCACGCACATTTTGACAGGGACGTCGGAAATCGGACACATCCACTGGGAAGTCGACGCTGCGCTTCAGCTTGTCGCGCGCGACCCACTTGGTGAGGAAGTCGGCGGGCATGAGGTCGTCTGCGATCTTGACGATGCGGCACTCGCCCTCGGCCATGCGGCGCTGGAGCGTGTGGTACCGGCGGAGGAAGTGGCGCGAGCGCGACGCGGACATGGCATTGTTGGCGACGAGGACGTTGGCCTTGTTGTCCGAGAGGCGGTGGCGATAGCCTCGCACTCGTGCGACGAGTCGACGATCAGGCCAACCTGCAGTCGAGTGGTAGGCGGCGGCGCCAAAGCACGTGAGGACGATGCCGTAGAGGTCGAGGTCCCCGTTCCACGTGGCGTCGGCGGCGGCAGCGAGATCGGCGGGCGCGTGCGAGTCGAGCCCCGCGATGTGGGCCTGCATGTGCCCCTGAAGCTCGGCGACAGCGCGAGGCCCGCCGTACGTGATCCCGTCGTCCCTATGCTCGTAGGCCATGTTGAGGGCGGCGCGCGCGACGTCGTAGGCGGCCGGCGGCGGCGCAGACATCACGCACGAGAGGCGGTGGAGGACCAGACAGAGCTTCGGCTGGACACGCTCGACGAACTTGAGGTGGCCGATGATGCTCTGCGTCCGCACCTGCTGCGGCGTCAGCTTGCCGTCGCGATCGGCGAGCTTGAGCGAGTCGGCGGCGACGGCGAGGCGCCTGCCGCTGAGGAGAGTCGGGCGCTCGCCACGGAGGAGCTCGGGCATGTGCTCGCGAGCGGCCTCGATGATCTTCTGCTGCATGGACAGCGTGAGAGTACATTTGCGGCTGCACTCCAGGGTTCTGCACCTGCACGAAAGCAAAGGCTGCACGCTCGCGCACTGCCTCTGGTGCGACGCCAGCTCTGCGGCGGCAAGCGCCTGCCCGCTGGGGCTGAGTGCACCGGCCTCGGCGGCACCGGCGGATGGTGTCGCGGCTGGTGCCTCGCGGACGGCGACCCCTGGGCCGGGCTGGGCGGAGGGTGTTGGGATCGGTTGTCCGACGCCGATTGTTGTGGGCTCGGTTGTCCGGACGGCAGGATGCGGACCGTAGGCCGCTACCATGCGCAAGCGGAGCGGTAGCGCCTGAGCTCCCGGGCGGCTGCGCCGGCCGCGCGGGCCGTGGGCGCAGCGTGGGGCCGGGAGCGGCCTGCTCCGTGCTCATGTATCCAGCCGTCTCTAGACGATGCTATGGCTCCTCTGGTGCTCATCTGGTGTGTAGGATAAAGCCGTAGCCCGGAAGCGCGGAGCCATCCCCGTCGACTGGGTACGGCTTACGCGCTACGGACGCTGGACCGTGCGGTGTACCACAAATGCCACACTCCACACACACCGTACCGCACAAAGCTGCTACCCTACCTCTCCTGGCTCCTGCGCGGCATTGTACTGCGCAAAACGCTGCTCGCACTCCTGCGAGTGGTAGCCGCGGCCCGTTGCGCACTCCATACAGCACGAGTCCCACCTGCGCCCTGGCCGATACTCACCCGGCTTGGCCGGGCGGCGCGGCGCGCAGCCCTTGACACACAGGGTGAACGAGAAGGCCGGCAGCGGCGCGGGCGGTGGAGGCCGCGGCGGCGCGACTGCCGCGGCAGCCGGCGGCTGTACGTGGGCAGCAGGCGGCGGCGCATAGGCCGCCACCGGCGGGGCGTGGGCGGGAGCCGCCGGCTGCCTTGGCGGCTGCGACGGCTGCGACGGCGGCATGTGCGGGGGCGGCGGCCCGGGCGGCGGCCCGGGTGGCGCAGCGGGCGGCGGCGGCGGGCCGGCAGCATTCGTCGGCGGGTGGTCACGCTCCCAGCGGCGAAAGTGCGGCTGGCGGCGGTAGAGGTCCTTCCACCCCGCGGGCAGCCTCGGGTCGAGCACGGCGTGCCACCAGAGCGGCTGCGCCTGGAGGTGCGCCTCGAGCGTGCCAGCGCGGAGGTGGCGGTAGAAGAGGTCGATGGCCCTGCTCGACCGCACCGCTCCCGCCGAGAAGTTGCGGATCTGCATGGCCTCCAGCTTGACCGCGCGGCTCACGGCCACGTACGCCTGGCCGTCGGTGAAGCAGCCCTTGAGGTCGACGACGACGAAGTCGAGCGACTGGCCCTGGCCCTTGTGGATCGTGAGCGCCCAAGCCAGTGCCAGCGGCAGCTGGGCGCGCTTGAGCTTTCCGCGCCGAAAGAACTTCTGTGGTGGAATGAGCGCAGGCGTGAGGCATTTGCAAATGCGGGGGGTGGGGTGGGTGGGTGGGTGGTGGGGGGGGGGGAGGGGGGCGGTGCGGGTGCCTGCTCGAAGGTCTCCGGAACGACGAGCTTCGTGCGGCCGTTTGTGAACTTCACCTCCGGATAGAGCGTCGCATCGTCCTCGTCGCCATGTGGCTTCTCCCACACCACCTCGCTCGGATTGGAGACGCGGTAGTAGTACGTGCGGCTCGTCTCCTCGTCCGTCGCCGCCGCCCAGTCCTTTGGCAGGCCGTCCGACCCGCCGCCGCCGCTGCCGCCGCCGCCGCCGCCGCCGCCGCCGCCGCCGCCGCCGCCGCCGCCGCCGCAATCCCCGCCGCTGTCCTCGCGACCGCCGTCCTCGCCGCTGTCCTCGCCGCCGCCTGGCGTGCGAGCGAACGCGGGGTCGTCGTTCGGTGTCTTGCGGCGGAAGCCGACGACGACGCCTCGCGAGCCATTCACCAGCCGGCTGCGGTGGGCGGCTCGGCGGCAGGCGGGGTCGACGTCGGCGGCGAGCGAGACGACCTCGTTCTTGATGAGCATCACCTGCGCGCCGAGCCGCAGCTGCAGCTCGTCGGGGGCGGCGCAATTCTCGGCGAACTTTTGGCGCTCGTTCGGCGAGATGTTTGGGTTGGGGTCTGGCGGCGGGTGCGAGTCGAGGTCGGGCTCCTCGCAGTCGAGCGCCTTGTAGACGTGCTCCGTCGCGGGGTCGAGCCTGCGCAGCTCATCGCGGTTCTCGGCCTCGACGGCCTTCTTGGTCGCGTAGAGCACGGTCGGCTTAATGCCGTCGCCTCGCGGCGGCAGCGGGCGCTGCGTGGCTTGCACCAGCCGCTGGACGGCGGGGTGCGAGGCGTGACCTCGACGGAGCTCGTGCAGCGCGTTCAGCAGGATCGGGTCGCCGGTGCGGTAGCACTTTTGGAGCTCGATGCACTCGAAGCGCGCGTCGCGCCAGCAGCACGTCTGGAAGGCCCACTTGCCCTTGGTCTCCTTGCAGCCGACGGGCACCTTGACGCGCTCGAGCCAGCCGCCACACTGCGTCCGGCTGGCCCGCTCCCAGCTCTGCAGCACCTGTGGGCTGGCGAGCGACACCTCGCTCACCGGCACGGGCGGCAGCTGGCAGAAGTCGCCCACGAAGATGAGCTGCAGCCCGCCAAAGGGCTGGTCCGCCTTGGCCCACGGGCTGTACTGCTTGCCCTCCCTCGCGACGAGTTCGCGGACATGCGCCTCTATCCAGTCGATGAACTCGGCGTCCGCCATCGACACCTCGTCGAGCACGAGCGTGCGCACCTCGCGCCAGTACTTCTTGCTGCCCCACACCTTCTCGAAGCCCGTGGAGGAGCCGGGCACGCCCGGACCCGGCGTCGACTGCATCGTCTGGCCGCCCACGAGGATCGCCGCCACGCCGGTGGGTGCCCATGTCAGCACTGAGCCGCTGCCATTCTTCTCCTCGAGCGCCGCGATGATGCGGCGCACGGTGAAGGATTTGCCCGTGCCTGGGCCGCCCGTGATGAAGAGGTTGCTGCCACCGAGTCCCTCGTCAAAGGCGCGCTGCTGCTCGGGCGCGAAGGCCCTCTCCTGCGTGGGGCTCACGTCGTCGTCGTCGTCGCCTCTCGGCAGCGACGACGAGCCCGCAGCGTCGCCTCTCGGCAGCGATGACGAGCCCGCAGCGTCGCCTCTCGGCAGCGACGAAGAGCCCGCAGCGTCGCCTCTCGGCAGCGACGAGCCCGCAGCGTCGCCGTGGCGCGCTCGCTTTGCCTGCCGCTCCGCCTCTTCGGCCTCCGCTGCCTCCTGTGCAGCATCCGCTGCCGCCAGTGCGGCCTCCCGCGCCAGCAGTTCCTGCTCGTGCGCGAAGGCCTCTTCGGCGAGATCGTCCTCTGTGTCGGACATGGCGGCCTCCACCGGTACTTGCACGCTGGGGGGGGGGGGGGCCGCCGCAGCTGCCGCGAACGGGGCTCGCCTTCGCGATTTCTTTTTTTGATTTCTTATCCTCGACAATTTTCTTCTCGAGACGCCGTCGCCAACTGTGATGTCGGTAGCGGCTAAACACCGCTCGCTGGAGCGCGGTTGATCGCGGCGCCAACGCCGCGGCGGCGCCATCTCGCGCGGCGAGAGACGGCGCTGCATCGGCGCCAAAACAAACGGGAGGTCGCGGCGCGGCCGCGGCAGCAAAAACATCGACGTTCGCTTCTCCTATTCCCGTCTCGTCTTGTCGCAGGGGCACACGCGCGCGATCCGCGTCGCTCCGCGGGTTGATGCACGTGTCGCTGCTCTTGCGCGCCGCGAGCGCCGCGAGCGGGGGCCCGGCGGTGAGGGACTGCCACCCAGGGGTCGTCTGGACGCCGATGCTGCGCAGGCAGCTCGGCGCGCCCCTCTGCCGCCTGCTCGAGGCCTCGGGCGCCTCGCGCCGCCTCTTCCGCACGCCGCAGCAGGGCGCCGCCACGGTCCTGTGGGCGGCGCTCTCGGACGAAGGCCACGGAGGCGGCGGAGGGGTGCGTGCGTGGCGGAGCGAGTACTTCGTCGACTGCCGGCGGGACGACGCGGCGGCCTCGCCCGAGAGCAGAGACCTCGCGGCCGCGCGGCAGTTGTGGCGGTGGCTCGTCGAGGCGGAGCCGGAGCTGGCGAGGCGCGCGGCGGCTGAGCGAGGGCTCGCCCGCGCGATCGCCGAGGCGGAGGCCCTGGCAGGGTTACACGCTGACACGTACGAGCGAGGAATGCTTTGTTAAATAATATACATACGCTGTGACACCTCTCGGCGATCGGCCGTTGGCGTATGTGTGAGACGGGGAAGTTGTGCAGGAGAGAGAGGGACCCAGACACCCAGTCGGTCCCGCCGGGCGCGACCTCGCTCGCCTCTCCGCCTTTCCCTCTGGCTCTGCGAGCTTACAGTATCACTGCCTCCCCGCGGCGCCGCGCCCGGCCGCCGACACCGCCCCTGTCCGCGCCCGGCGCACGCCGCTCAATGATGGAGAGCTCGCGTACGCGTACGTATCCCCGTTCGGCAACTCGTGAGACGGTAGATGAGGCGGGGGCGGGGCGGGGCGTCGGCCACGGCGGGCGGCAGGCGCATCGCGGCTCGCTAGCGGGCAGCCGCCTCGAGGCAGCCGCGCGCCGGCTCTTGGGCCGGGGTGGTAAGCCCGGGAATAGTCGCTAGCGAGAGCGTGCGAGTGTGTTGGGCGCCGGTGTGGTGCGTGGCGGTCAGACACACAGACTCAGCCAGCTGGTCTCCACTGTGTAAAATAATAAAAGAAATAAATTTCGCCGGCCGCCAAATGGTCGGGCACCAACGTTCACGTTCTGTGGCCCTCCTCGGCTCCTGTGTCTGGGAGTCGTCTGGGTCGAGGCCATTCCTTGCACATGCTTCTGCGGCCCTGTGCGCAGGTTCTTCTCGTCGACATGAGACTGTGTTTCAGTGCCAGACTTGCGTTGTGTGTGGAGCTTTGAGCAGAACACACACACCCATGCGGCTTTTGGGCGAGCGGTGGTGGGTGCCTTGTCAGCGCCTGCGGCGCTGAGCGCCTGCGGCGCAAATCGGCTATTGCTCGCTCCACCGCTGCCGGCTAAAACGTAAAAGCCGTGGCGGCGGCAAGGGCGAGGTGGAGCTGGAGGGCCGTATACAAAAAGTTATTACAAAATTATTACAAAAAATATTAAGTTTTACGTCAAGCTTGTCCATCTAATTTCCCGTTTGTATCTCCTTGTCACATCCATAGATGCACCGTCGCGTTGCCCAGGTAGGCAGAATGTGAAGGAAATTCCTGTTTCATTAGGCCTGTGATTATACGGTGTAGGCTCCTCGGAGGCGGAGCAAGCCTCAGCATGTTACATGAAGCGCCCGTGCCAAAGGGAACGCAACGAAGGGAGTGAGGAGCACTCCCAACCCTCGTCTCTTGTGGCATTGCCAATGCCCAAAATTTAAGAACGGCTCAAAGTTCGTGGTAGAGCTTCGAGCGGCTGGGAATTGGTTACCAAAAATTGTAGTCGCCTCCAACTTGCACGCTCGCCATGATCGTCGATGTGCACCGACGGCGACCGCCCTCTCGAAGCGCCCGGCTGACTGGCCAGCCGCCGAGCAGGAGCGAGCAGCCGTTCGAATCCGCGGTGCAGCGCCGCGGATGGCGAACCTCGAGCCGGTGGAGAAGACCGCGGTCGTGTCGGACTCGTTCGGCGCCGATGCGGCGCCAGCAATTCGGGCGCGGCCGACTCGCTCCAGTTCGGCGCAGCTCGCCTTGGAGCCCACCGCGCTCTTAAATCGCCTCGAGACCATGCTCCTCGGCAACCATCCCGTCCCCGCACCCTCCAACGAGGTCAGCATCGTCGGCGAGGTCACCAACGGCATCATCATCGCCGCGAAAGCTGCCGTAAACACGCTCTTTTTGTCGCAGCGGCGCGGCGCGCTGATGGCTCTCCAGATAAAGAACCTGAAGAAGGCTGCGCTGGCGTACCTTGTGTGGGACCTACGCGGCGAGCTGGCGGGCGCGCGACTCGAGCAGGCGGTCGTGTACGGCAAGCGGCTCGAGACACACGCGAGCGGCGTGGACAAGGAGTTGGGCAAGTGCAAGCGGCGGCAGGCGGGCGCGGAGGCGCTTCTCGCTGTCGTTCCAGAAACTTTGCAGGACGTGCCGACGCCAGAGGAGCCCGCGGTCGAGGAGGAGCCGGCTGTCGAGGACCTGCCTGCCAGCGACTCCCGTCCCGACGACGCGTCTTCGGACAGCGATCGGGAAAGCGTCTTCGAACGTCGGGTGATCGACGCCGGCCTGAACCAGGCGCAATTCGATGATATGCGGGACGTTTACGGGATTCAGCTCGCCCACGAGGACATCTGTGCCATTCTTTTGGATCGGGCAGCCTGCTTCGAGAAACTGTATTACAGCTGCAAGGCGAAGCTCCTCCCGTACCTCGAGCGCGACTGGGTGGGTGCCACTGGAGGAGGCCCTCCAGCGGCTCCGCCTTGTAGACGCTCGTAAACGCTCGGGTACCCCGGGTCGTGGGTATGATAGTGACATAACATTGTGAAGCCCCTTCATGTACGTCCCGGTCAAATTGGCCCAGGTTTTCGGGCAGCGGCATTATTTTCTTTTTTGAGAGCGCCTTCGTTGTTAATAGTACAAACCCAATAGTCCTCTGCGAGCGGTCCTTCGTATTACTTTTTGTTTTTTTTCATCGGGAGAATCAGTGTGTGTTGTTTCTGCTGTTGTGTGCGTGCCCTTGCGGCCTTGGCACCATTGGGCAAACGCTGTGTCTTAACGCTGTGTCTTAACGCTGCCTTAACGCTGAAAAGAATTGACAACACATTCGCACAGGGCAGAGCGGAGTGAAGCCGTAAACCGCTGTGAATGGTGAGCAGAAGAGACCTAACGTACCTTGTGTTCCCGCCACGCTCCACGGTCCCGAACCCCAGCCGCGCGCAGGGGACATCGCATCAGCATCAGCATGAGCAGGACGCGCCCGTGGTGCTACAGGGGCACCTGCCGTATTTCGACTCCCCCATACATTCGCCATTGTCCATGTCACTTCCATAGATGAACCGTCGCGTTGCCTAGGGCCTATGATACGGTCTGTAGGCTCCTCGGAGGCGGAGCAAGCCTCAGCATGTTACATGAAGCGCCCGTGCCAAAGGAACGCAACGAAGGGAGTGAGGAGCACGCCCAACCCTTGTCTCTTGTGGCATTGCCATACCCAAAATCTAAGAACGGCTCAAAGTTCGTGGTGGAGCTTCGAGCGGCTGGGAATTGGTTACCAAAAATTGTAGTCGCCTCAGAGCTCCAACTTGCATACGGGATCAGCGAACTGGCCGCGCACCTTCACGCCGCACCGCTGCTTAATGTAATACCTACGCATCGTCGCACAAACGCACGGGCGCTTATCATGGTTAGGACGAGACCTTCTGAACTGTGAGGAGGCGGTGCTAGGCGTGCGGTGGTGATGCGGCGGGCGTCCGCACAGCATCTACCCAGCTGCGCACAGCTGCATGTGGATGGACTCGACGCCGCTGAGGTCGAGGTCTTGGGCGTCGCCGGTGGCCTCGTTGCGTACCGAGAGCGACCACGAGGCGTAGAGGGGCGGCGGGTTGAAGGGACTGACGGGATCCTTTGCAAACTCTGGCGGCGTGGCGAAGTACTCCTCGAGGTAGCCGTCCGCGAGCTTGGTGTTGCCGAGGCACCACGTCGCGGGGCAGGTGCCTGGTGGGAGGTACTGCTGATTGTACTCGTCGCAAAGGAATGAGAACCTGTTGAAGACGTCGACACGCGGGAGCCGGCCTCTCTTGCAGGCAACATCCTCGCCAGGGAGATAGTCGACATTTTCGAGCTGGACCACAAACTTGTAGGATGAGTCGTCTGTTTCCGCGAAGCGCTCATTGTCGACCGTCGGTGCCGCGAACTCGACATCCGTAAATTGTGGCTCTCCGTCGACCAACTCGCGGTTTCGGAAGCGCTGCACAAAGTTGCTGGAAGGCTGAAGCTGCGGGAGGACATACTGGCCCTGGCGGGCGGTGATTCGCGTGTCGCCGGGGCTGTTGAAGTACACCAACGCACCGCGTAGAAAGAGGCCACACGCGCCCGACATATCCACAGGGAAGGAATCCTGATCAAGGCGGAACGTGAGCTTGCCGTACGTGTCAGAGTTGGGGTCCTTGAAGGCTTGCCAGGCGGCGCTCGTCGCGAACGGCGTCTTGGGGAAGTCGGTCCCGTCGGCGGGCACCTCGGCCGTGGTAACCTCCTCGAGCCGGCAGCAGGCGAAGCCGGTGCCAGCCAGGTCCGCTTCTGCGCACGACGAGTCCCCCGTCAAGATGTAGTCCTTGTTCTCCTCGGTGTCGTCGCACAGGACGACTTCATTCGTTTTCACGTCGACGATGGCAGTCGTGGTGTTGAACTCGGTGATGTTGATCC